AGTCTAAGAGAGTGATTACTGGTAAAGACTCCGGGCGATTTTGAGCTTGATATACATTGTAGACTCCGGAGGATCAAGAGCTTGATAAGCTGTTTACAGACTCCGAGCGATTTAGAGCTTGCAATATAGAGTAAACCCCGAGCGATTTAGAGCTTAATAAACTGTATATGGACCCCGAGTAATTTAGTCTAAGAGCTTAATTAATGGTTAAGACTCCGGGCGATTTAGAGCTTGGCATACAGTGTAGACTCTGGGCGATTTAGAGCTTGACATACAGTGTAGACTCTGGGCGATTTAGAGCTTGATATACAGTATAGACTCCAGGAGATTTAGAGCTTGCTATATTGTATAGACTCCAAGAGATTTAGAGCTTGATACATTATATAGACTCCGGGCGATTTAGAGCTTGATATGCTGTATAGACTCTAGACGATTTAGAGCTTAATATACCGTACAGACTCCGGAAGATTTAGAGCTTGATACACTGTATAGACTTCAGGAGATTTAGAGCTTGATACACTGTTTAGACTCCGTGCGATTTAGAGCTTGCTATACTGTATAGACTCCGGGCGATTTAGAGCTTGCTATACTGTATAGACTCCAGGAGATTTAGAGCTTGATACACTGTATAGACTCCGGGCGATTTAGAGTTTGCTATCTGTAAAGACTCCGGAAGATTTAGAGCTTGATACACTGTATAGACTTCAGGAGATTTAGAGCTTGATACACTGTATAGACTCCGTGCGATTTAGAGCTTGCTATTCTGTATAGACTCCGGAAGATTTAGAGCTTGATACACTGTATAGACTTCAGGAGATTTAGAGCTTGATACACTGTATAGACTCCGGGCGATTTAGAGCTTGCTATACTGTATAGACTCCGGAAGATTTAGAGCTTGATAAACTGTATAGACTCCGGGCGATTTAGAGCTTGATACACTGTATAGACTTCAGGAGATTTAGAGCTTGATACACTGTATAGACTCCCGGCGATTTAGAGCTTGCTATACTGTATAGACTCCAGGAGATTTAGAGCTTGATACACTGTATAGACTTCAGGAGATTTAGAGCTTGCTATACTGTATAGACTCCGGAAGATTTAGAGCTTGATACACTGTAAAGACTTCAGGAGATTTAGAGCTTGATACACTGTATAGACTCCGGGCGATTTAGAGCTTGCTATACTGTATAGACTCCGGAAGATTTAGAGCTTGATACACTGTATAGACTCCGGGCGATTTAGAGCTTGATTCACTGTATAGGCTTCAGGAGATTTAGAGCTTGATACACTGTATAGACTCCGGGCGATTTAGAGCTTGCTATACTGTATAGACTCCAGGAGATTTAGAGCTTGATTCACTGTATAGACTCCAGGAGATTTAGAGCTTGATACACTGTATAGACTCCAGGCGATATAGAGCTTAACGTACTGTATTTACTTTGATACCTTATGTGCTGACAGGCACGAAGAGGATGAGGATGAGTGAGTGAGTACTGTATAGATATCTACATGTTGGTGTTTTCTGTCGTTAAGATTCTTATAACAATGTATACCCGCCATCTTTTTTTTAATTTTCACAGAAGTAAAAACAATGTTTTTGGTTTTACTACTTGTTTTTGTTTACTTGCTTTTCTACTTTATACAGCCTCAACGTTAACTACTAAGATAAACATCTAAAAACAAAAGAAATAATTATAGTATTAGACATTACTGTTATAAAATGTCAACGACTATAATCCAAAAGAAAAAACCCTAGAGAAAACATACATATCAAATATCTGTCGTCTATTTCAGATACTTGTTTTCAAGCCATGATTGTCGTAGGCGAAAGCGTCACGAGACTTAGATATAAAATGCACTAATAAATTACAAAAAGTTAAACGAAGTCATGATTCAATTCACAAATGAAAAATAGGTAGACTTTTACATTACCACAGCAACTAGAAAAACTGCTTATTAATAATAACTCCTTTATACTAATACATTTGATCAGGTGCACAAAGGTTCATTAAGGTAACAAGTACGTAAATGATCTATCTCACGGATTTTTATGAAAATTTGCATGCAACTAGAGCAAGATTAAAGTGCATGCTTATGAATATCGAAAAACGATATATGCTTAATCAAAATCTCTCAAATTGAGGTAAACAAAAACTCTTTAAAATAATCCGGATCTTTCGACCGGCATTGTGTATTGAAACTTTAAGTTTTTGATGTTGTTTTTATATAACAAATATACACTTGAATGATTTATATAGCAAAAAAGGAATTTGGTGACCCTACAAGTTGTATATCAATAAAACGTGTATCATTAAGTGGCAATAACATATCTTTTTTTTAAATATCATAGAACAGAGTTTTGAGAAAAGATGGTTTGCGAACTTGTTTCTCTTTTCGTTGTCTGTCGTTTTTGCCATCGCATTGTCAGTTTTTGTCGACAAATGAGTTTTGAATTTCCCCTTGGTACATGTATTTTCCGCATGATACATTTGCCACTGGGCGTAAAGCAAACAACAATCAATCAATCTTTGTATCGGTAGAAACTTTTGTTAGACCGTTGGGGAGAACTTGACTGATTTATTGCCACAGAATTGCTCGTTCTTAAAAAATATATATATTTCATGTATTTGGAGAATGATTAGCACTATAAATGCAAATCGAAAAACTGAATATTTTTTTTATATTTCTATGACTAAGACAATTGATAAATGACAGTGAAAAAGCGGTCTAACAATATTCTTTAAACAAAATATCCAAATATAGGTTATCGAACCGTCAACAACGGATAACGCCTAAGCCGTGTAGATCTGAAATAGCTCTATACAACAGCGTTGAACAAGGCTAGCACTTAGCTAGATCTATGTCAGACGTTAATAAAACTAAAAATCACCTAATCTTTATATAAGTGTATGATAAATTCAACAGAGAAGACCAAGCACTTATATAAAGATAATAAATTTTAAAGAAGTAGGAGATTCGTGTATTACATTGTAAGGAAGGCAACTCTTGGTCTGAATATACCATGATACATGAAAATATAAAGAACAAATATTTTGATATTAATAAATAATGGTCATTTTCCGCATTTCACTAATATTGCCAATCAATGTAAGGCCCATTTACGTTGCCTTCATTCAGAAACTTATTTACATGCATTAGTATAAACATTTTTAAGCGTATGTCTGATTCCGTTTGCAGTAAACACATTTCAATAGTAACACAGATGTGGAGTTCATATAAAAATGAGAAGATGTGGTATTATAATGATTGCCAGTAAGGTAACTATCCACCAGAGTTAAAATAAAGCGGTAGAAAGCAATCATAGATTACCGTACGGCATTCAACAATGAGAAAAATCCATATCGTATAATCCCGACATTAAAAAAATGTGAAATAATCCAAACGAGAAAAAACGAACGACCTAATTTAAAACAAACAATTTACGAAAACAATTATGACAGACATGAACCAACAATGTATATGCCTTAAAGGGACACTAGCTGTCAAATTCATGTTCAAAGATTTGACTCAAATTCTGATATTTGATTTATAACCATGTAAAACATTTATCCAAATTATAAAAAGTCTAAGAAAAAAAAATTTACAGGGCATGTGCTCGATCATATGTAGCTTCGTTTTGTGTGTATTTTTGTCTTGACGCCATCTAATTAACTATCGAGTTGACCTTCGAAGACCTCCGATGGTCATATAAGCGATATAAACATAAATATAGATATAAATAGAAAGCGAACTCGTGCAATCGGATTTTTCTAGGTCTGTTTAATTACATATTATAGATTAAAAATAAATGTAAATCGTCGTTTTTACCTGTATAAGAATGATTTTTTGTGGATCGAATCAGTCAATCAAATGATTTACCTTTGTTTCACTTTCAATGTTGACATTCTTTTCCTTTAAATAACCTAACACGCACAATTCATGCGTTATCCATCTCTAGCTAAGGGGTTAAATTGAAGTTCACATGAATACGGATTCAATGAGGTCGAATTATTCACTTGCAAGTGAATAATTCATGATCAATGTTTCTTAGCTTAATTTGACAAAATTGAACCATACTAGCTGTTAAAAGCGAATTATTATTTCACTTTTTCACTTTCATTAATGATTGAACAAAAATAAATCATACTTTAGATTTTTTATATATCTCGTAGCTAGTGCCCCTTTAATGTCAATTAGACAGCAACCAAGAAATATAAATAAACTCAATTTGTGACCTTAATAGTTCAACGTATATCTTTCAAAATATGCAAACGTCAAAACTGTATGACAACATTCGTGATGAATAAATACCAGACAACAACACCAAATGAATAATTTTTTGATTGGAAACATAAACTGAACCGAGGAAATTGCATAAACTATGAAAGCTCAGACCGTGTGCGTCGAAAGCATACTCGTCTTCTGCTAGGCATGCACCACCCGCCATGCGAATCTTCACCCATAAATAAGATCAGATGCACTGATAGTTGCATTAATACATGAGCACAATAAACACTGCACTCTATGTATATATTAAAAGATAAGAAAAATCAAAGTGATATTTAAATACAGAGTGATGTCTCGGTGTATTGGATTGGCTGTATTATCATCATGTTCATGTATACTGATGTAAATTGCAAACACCAAACACGTCAAAAGCTCAGCTGAACTAAACTAAGTTAAGGGCTGTTTTAATTTATTTCTCAAACGAGGACTAGACTTTTGGTAAAATTTGTAAAAATGGCATTTTGGTCGTCCCTGTTAAAGATTTTCACATATCTACATCGCTGAAATCTGATTACCATCGAACAATATCAAAATATTCACACTAGGAATTAAAAAAAATAAAATTAGCAAAAGTCAGTAAAACATGACGGCTTTTCGTGCCTAATGTTCAACTTGAAATAAAAATGCAGGAATGATTATAAAACACAATACCAAATATAAATGGTTATTTTAATAATGGTAAAATAAAAAAAACTTACATATGAACAAAGTAGCTAAAGCATGATTTTACATACATAAAACAAAGTTATGTACCGAATAAAATCATTATTATTATGAATAAAAAAAATGGTTCAGCATCAGTACATTTATGAATACATTAAAGCAGTTTATGTAACCGATCTCAAACAATGTCGAAATAATTGGTTCACGACTAAGGGATGCCGAACTTTACATAGTTTGAAACTGAAATACATGGGTGCAATTGCAACAACATACCATACATCAGTGATATATAAAAATACTTCGTTAGAAATACACTCTAAATGATCGGAAAACTGACAACATGAACATCGTAACGGTTTCTAAGTCAATAATCATGATTAATGGAAGGGACACTCTGCACGTGAAAATTATTTAACTTTCATATAATTAGTTATTATAACCTTATAGCAATGGCCTAGCGTCTTGTTATCCTATTTCATTTAATTTTGTTTGTATTTTTGTAACTTAAAATGGTCTTAATCTCATACGAAATCAGCTAATATACTATTTATGCATTAATATTCTTAATTCAGGGTTTTCTTAATCTCCTCCAAAAGTCTCTTTTTATATTTATTGACCTTTCGAACTTCTTATACATTTGACATCTAATTCCTACAAGAAAGCAAACGTACAGACAAGTTTGCAGCAACATGAATTCTTATTGAACACCAATAAGAGCACGATAAAATTGGATACATTTAATATACATTACAATGATATATACAATACAATGGTGAGTAGAATAATATATTTGCTCATACCATGGAAGTACTATATTGTCTATTATATAGTACTTCCATGATCATACTAACCCACTTATCTGACTTGAATGAAAACAGTTTACTGTGCAAATCATACGAGTTATGACCATTGACCAATCACGTTATCTTCAGATAAGTTTGCCAATTGATTTGCTGTCATTATTGCACTTTCATTACTTAAAACGCAGCATTCAAAACAAAAAAACAATGCAATGAATCTGCCGTAGACTCTTTACAGAATCAATACCTATATATACATAATAACTGGTCCATAAAATCTTGAAAGATTCAATCACACCCGAATTTTCCAAACTTGATTTTTTACATAAATAAGCTCTCCAAACAAGTCATTCACTAATCATGTTGTGAGGGTACAGTTACAGAGAGAACTTGTTGGATCCGGTGATGCCGGTTTGAACTGAATTACCACTACAGTGTAAGTAACGATACTCGAAGCAAACTGAAAGAATAAAGAAAACTTCTTATAACTATGAATAAATTAGGAGGTTTTTTGCCGATTGGCGATTTATTTTCATCTGTTGCTACTTATGCTTATTTTTTGCCGCGCGATAAACTATTTCACTTTTGTACACAATCATTTCCTGTATGTTGTGTTGAAAAATAACTTTTCCATCCTGTCTTGGGTAAAATCTTTTATTTTCAGTCCTTACCAGGCACGGATATTCATTTTCAAAACGATATATCCGTTGAAGATTTAGTGATGGATATTTCAATATGACCCCCTTCTGTACACAACTGCAAAGTCAGTTGTACTTTGAACGACTACTTGATTCAAAATTGATATTTCTGTTTGTGTTGCTCGATAGGAAAATTCAATAAAATTACTCTATAAGTGTACATGTAGTTTTACACTTTAATCGCGAAACGGTTGGTTTTCTGAAAACTTTTTTGCTTCATCATATGAAAATGGCGGACTTTCGGTCGTGTCTTGTATAGGTCAGCTTTCAAGTACAAACATTCCGAAATTTCCTATTAGAATCGAAATATTTCTTTCGTGTAATGCCTTCTGCCTATTTTAACATGGATAGGAATTATATTTGTCAGCATTGTACACGTATTTACGCTCAGTTTAAATATATTGACAAACACGATATACTTTGTTTTTTTTCTCTTTTTGTAAGTGGCTGTTTTCCGACGTATAATTCTGATGAGTCAAGCTCTATCAAACTGATTTTTACAGTTAGTTCTTATGTTGTTTTGTTACACCACTGTTCCATCAGGCAGTCATACTACAACTACATATCGGATTGGTATAGGATTGGTATAGTAACATATACTGACTTCAGGGCTTTCGATGCGTATTTAAGCAATACCTTTCTCCAAGTAGACTTAAGACCATACTGATATACAGACTCGGTATATTAAACAGATATACGGCATCATGTTCAGTAGGGGTATTCGCGTAAAATAATAACCGAGAGATGAGAACATTTCCTGAGCCGCTTGAAAAATTTCTTCTCAAGACTGGTATTTTGCGCAAATGCCCCTCATAAACATGGTTCCCTTATCTGTTTGATTACACTGAATATTAAAAGAGATTATCAAGTTAAAATTCAAATTTGATTAACGCTATCAAGACGTTAAAAGCAATACCATGAATACAGCCGTATTTAATAAAGCACACAAATCATCAAGCGTCTCTGTGAAGGATAAAAAGGACATCTATATGCATACGTTTTGGAAAATGTCACTACTTGTTATATTTTCATATAATCTAAATTCCGCCTAAAAATGGCACGATCTAAGTACTTACAGCAATGATGGTAGGTTTGTCTATCGTAAACAATCCAAATGCAGTAAAACCAATGGGGTTCGCAGTTAGTTTGGAAAGAAATACGTTCATCTAAAGTTACAAAAAATACTATCTGTCATTGAAATACCTAATCTACGTCTCAAATATTATTTGACCATTGCTAACATCATCGTTAAAAGAGTTAGTTGTCAATGAAAGTTCGTGTGAATTTTATTGGTGTTTTCTTTGTTTTTGTTTCGACACAGTTTATAAACAATATACTGCAATGTTTACAGAGTTAACGGTTGGAAAAACTTCAATCAAATAAAATACGGCATACACATAAATAAACTTTGTGCAAATTATTCAATGTAAATGAAGATAAAAGCTTTCTAATTTGTTTATAAAGTAATATATTACTTCCACATGCGCATGTATTTGAATAGTTAAAAAATGTGAGCAACCTGTTTTCTGAAAAATGATGTTTGACTTCGTCAATATTTTTTTCAGACTTTACTAGAATATTACTAATTTATTAGTAATTATTGTTTGATTTTCTGTAAATTTACACTTTTTCTGTTTTTTAAGCTCAGAGTTTGAAACTATTGGTGAAAAACATATAAATTTGTATGAAAATGTTTTAAGTGTTTGGATGAACATAGCTTGCGTTCATAAGACAACTGTGTACTGTTAAATATCAAAGAAGACATGGAGGATTAAGCTGTGGTGTTTTGAATGATTTATTAGCCAAATAATTTATATGATTTCAAGATAAAGATCAACATTTATATTTCAGCAAACATACATCAGTGAAAATTCGTTATACATGAAATTAAAGTAATTCAGTGTGTACCTGAAACCTAAAACATTTAACTAAGTGTTTTCAATAACGAAATCCTAAATCAGTACTTTTACTATCTTTCGTAGTAATGCCATCGTTTCTTTTCTAATATGTATTTCTTAAATTGTTCCGTAAACAAAATGATATGACGTCAGTTAGACAGCAATACAACTACACATAAAACCATAAATTCATCTCGACGAACCTTATATAAATTTGACACATCTAGATTTTGTTTGTTTTAGTTGTGTTCACTCTCTTAAGACTTGTGATATCTGTGTGTTAGTTCGTTCTAAAATCGATGTCTTTTCCTCAAATATATGTCCTATTTTAAAGTCTAAGAAGTTTTTTTTAACTTCTAAAACGTCGTCAAATCGTTTAAACAACATTTTAGGAAAGGACATACTTTCAAGACCGACATAAACATATTTTAGAAAGAAAAAAAACCCAACAATATTAGTAATAAATCCTATACATTATTTTGATGCTAAATAAAGTACCTGGTGACAGTGAATTGGTCCCATAACGTTCATATCAATCCCATAAATATGTTCCAGTGCTGCGTGTGCCTTCGAAAAGAAAACGATGTAAAATTGTACATAAAGTCATAAAAAGTAAACGTACTTTCAGTTGGATGTAAGGGAGCTACTATTTGATTTTTAGGGGGGGGGGGGGGGGGGGGGGGGGGTAGGAGGAGGATGAAATTTGAAAAAAAGGCTGCACAGGAGTGTTTAGTAAAAAAAAGGCAGGATGAGCAACTTTGCAAAAAAAAAAGACATGATGACAATTTATGTAAAAAAGTCAGGATAAACTAATAAAAAAAGGCAGGACCGAAAAGTGAAAATAAAAAAGGCAGGACAGAGATTACAACTAAAACAAATGCAGGACAAAATTTTTCATCCTAGCACAGCCCCCCCACCCAACCCCCCACCCCCCACCCCCACCCCACCCCCCCCCCCCCCCATTAAAATAAAATGGTAGCTCCCTAAGGAGATGTGTCACTGAGACAGCCATCAAACATAATGAAATAAAACCAGACATTTAAGTTCCGATCTAAATGGTCATAAAGAAGTTCGATGCGAGCTTGGGCTATTTTCAGAAAATGATCAATTCGTCAATACACGTTTTAGTATTAAAACTCGATGTAATTTTTTTAATACGAATTGAAAACGTTTTTTAACTTATCACTCTTAAATTTTTTTTCTTTTGTTTTCAGACATAGTTCTTATTTAAAACTTGAAATTAGAAAAACAAACTGCGCTTATAGCTCATGAATTCCTTATCTTATCACTTCAATTTGTACATGTATGTATAGGTATGCCAAAGTTCTGGTTGTGGGAACATGACAATAAATATTCGGATAGCTAAACTAAAATAGAAAACACACAATTGTATTATATAAGGAATGATATGTTGTAAGAGTTGCACTAAAATGTGTTTTAAAGACGATGAAAATCTTCTGTCTTTATATTGTATACAGCAACTTCATGAAAATCCTTATAAAGAACGATATATAGTTAAGATGATCGTCTAAACATCTTTTTAAATTTCTTGCCACCATTCTCCCTACAGTAGAAGATGGCCTTCAGAAATATTGTGATGAGGTATATTCAAATAGCGGTGTCAATCAGATATGGATTCTTAATAATTCTAAAAATCTACTGCAAAATCTTCAATCATAATCTTTTTACTTTTGCAGTAATTTCAAAACTTTTGATTTGTCTACGCTTTACACTTCTATTTATTATGGTCATTGAAAGATCGAATACACCTTCTCTTTAAAATCGTAGATACAAATTTCTTGTTTTAGGGCATCAAAAATATTACTTAGTGAAGAACCGCACTGATTCCAGAAACAAATACACCGAAGATAAAATTTTCAAAACAAAATACTTGACTTTTTGATCGACAACATATTTGTTGAGTTTGATGAAATCTTTCAACACAGTCGGTATTCCAATGGGTTCGAATTGTGCTCGCCTACTGACCGACTTGTTAATGTACTCATATATGAAGCAAAATATTCCAAACCCGAAAGACAAAAGAAACATAACCATCTTGCACAGTTCTTTTATTTCACATATGCATCTCATATATCCCACAGCACTTGAGATTAAGGATATTACTCACGGTCACTAGAAGGTCTGTTTCATATTTTGATCTTTTGACTTCAAACTAGGATCGATGACAAACGCGATGATTTTGAAAAACTAAAGTCAACTTCCCATTTCTCAGACGCAACATACCCTCTGCCAAAATCGTATAGCGTTTACATATCCGAATTGATACTTTACGCTCGTGCATGTTCACATTATACAGACTTCGTTGCCAGAGGTGTTCCCCTTACACCATAACTGCTCCGATAGGATTATGAGGAAGAACGACTGAAATCGACACTACACATGTTTCGGGTCAGCATCACGAATTGGTTGACCGATACGATACGTCTGTGTCTCAACTCACTAGCGGCATGTTTTCGCAGTCTTAGTTAATTAGATATCAGAAAAGTCGTGTAATCTGTAATTTTACTGAGCGTGTCTTATGATTCCTGTGACATTTTGACTGAGATTGGATTTGCATGGCGGGTGATGCATACATAGCAGGATACGCTTACTCTGTCGACGGACCCGGTTTCACTCCTTTTAAAGTTAATGTCATTCCTTCAATTTTTTGTTTGTTGCCTTAATTTGTCTTCGTAATATATATGAATTAATGCTGTCTAAATCAATAGAGGTGCGAATAAAAGATGCATAACCGTTTAAGTTACACGCAACACTGGATTAACCTCACTGCATTGTGTGTCGTTATAAAGTAATGCTATCTTTTCTGCGTTCTAAGTACAACTTAGAGATAAACGTTTTACAGCATTTCTCAATAAAACGGTGTTTCCTGCTATTCCTACATTTTAAAAATACATATTCCTTCTATTCCTACAAACACTACATTTTAAAAATACATATTCCTTCTATTCCTACAAACAAAGTACAATAGCTGTTGTTATAAGGTAGTTTATTGTTTTTACAATTTAGATTTAATTGATGTGCAGGTAATTAAATGAGAGAAAAAAAATCACACCCTTTTTACTTATTTCTGAAGAATTATAATAAAGATAAAAACATGGATGCATTGCAGAGGATAATATAGAAAATTAAATATAGAAATGTACTTTGAATTTATATAGCATGAAAAAATGAGGAAGAAAAGGCTTAATACAGAGAAGAAAAATTCAAATTAAATTATACATATTACAAATATAGTTAAAATTTGAACTGAAATCTTCATTATAGACAGCAATAATGCTGGGATCAATGCTACAAAAGTATAAGGTTGAATAGGCAAAGCCAAATTTTACCTTCACTTCATATATTTTTACAGAGGATGACCTTGAGGTCACTCCGATGTATTGCTATCGCCTAAATTTCCATTATGCAAATTAGTTTTGGGATTTCAACCGATCTATAAAAATTATAGATCCGCGGTCATTACAAGGGAAAAAGTGCATTTTTATACCTGCGATTCCGTTCTCCGTTCGTACGATGTTTCATCAAAAAATGGAATCATTTCAGTTGTTGATTTAGTACTGAAAATTTGACTGAATTATCTCCTTATTAAATACGGTTTTATATGTTTAATAGGTGTTTAAGAAAGAGGTCAGGTGCTCATGTTCATTCATAAAATTATCGTTCATTCATGAATTTATCGTAAAATCAAAATCACTACACAGGTCACACAGGTTGTATACGTAGTCAAAAGATTACCTGTATAGTATCTAAAAATAGACAAACTTAACTGACTCCCCTTACTGTAGTGTGTGATAACATTTTGTGAGGGAATTCGATGTTTGCTATACCACTAGTACTGTTCATTTCAACGCACTTTATGACGATACCACTTTATCAATATGAATGAATTTTTTTGCAGTGTTTTAAGAAATAATTTTACTTTAAAATCGCGTATCATTTGTGAACTATTAAATGTTTTACAAGGACGAATTTTCTGTATAAAGTCAATAATTGTGTGAACTTTTGAAGCCCAAACTTTTTATAGCCTTAAATACGCTAATGAAAGATCCGAAAACTATACCCATACAGAACGCCATGTTTTTGAAATTGTAGCAAAACTTTTGGTTGACAAATTTTAATTCGTTATTGCATAAATATTAACTTGAAATATCTGTCATTTTCTCCCTACCCAGTTTACCTCTATTACTCATTATGATGTGGACTTGACATTGTTATTGAATCTTATGCAATTTGATTGGATTAAGTTATTATTAGATTACCTTTAAACTGTTCATGCTTTTTCGTACGAGTATATTGATTAAATCAGAGCGTGCATGAATGTGTACAGAAAATTAAATGACCTGCAAACTGGACACTGGACCAGTCCATATTACGTTTTATCAATGAATAGATTTTTTTTTATTTCCCAAATTACAGGGCCCATAAAGGGCATAAAATCAGATACAATTGATTTACATAATTGGTAACAACAACAATAATAGCGGCATATAAATAGATATTTAGTATATAAGCATTGGTCAGAATCAGATGAACGAAACTTAAGGTATGAAAGGTAACAATTGCCACTTTTTATCTTTTCACATAATTTTCCACATACACATTAGATAAATTATTTTTGATAGCCTATTGCGGAGAAAAAAGAGAAAGTTTACTGTATTAACGTTCTATTCCATTAAATACGCCATTTTTCGAAGATAAATGCAGAAAAACATTTATGAACGGCTACGCCAGGTAAAATTGTTGTTTATCCTAAAAAAAAATACAATTTTCAGTTTCATTAGAATATTATAATAATAATAAATCCCAAATTTATGTAGTCATTAGATAAAGTCCGTATATGTCCGATCTGCCTATTTTTGGACATCAAAAGACAATACGATCGTTTTAAGGTCAATTTCGTCTACCTCACACAATCTTGTTAGGCACTATAATGAAATGGACCTGAAATTTATTTCACATGTTTCCTGAAAATTGATAAATATCAAAGCAACATAGTGCTGTTTGTTCTAGTTCGTATAATGACAATTTAATGTCATGTTTGTTTGTGATGACCCCCCTTTTCGGGATTGCGTCAGAATTATAGTTATCTCGTATCACATGAGGATGACACATGTCAACTGAGCAATTATGTTTGGGACTTAGTTTTAAGAAATGGTGTCAAAGTAACATTATGAAAATATTTTTAGTAAGCTGAAATATATATTTATTTTTTACATGTTTATGTCTTGTAAGATATTTTATTTCTGTCCCGTTTTACAACATTAGCGTCTGGAAAGTTGAAATGTTTTAACTGAATGGTTAATTTAAATTAATTATGAAAATGGTTAAAATTAAATCAATAAAGGAAATTATTGCCCAGTTACAAACACTACCAGGGGATAATCCATAATGATTTTTTTTTCAGTTATATGTTTCAGCACATGTTTAATTAACCCCAACTTTAGCCTGGTAAACTTGTTGTCTCCTTGTAAAATATAAAACATATTTAAAATGATTTCCTGCTAAAGTCTTATATTGATATAAAGTTAAAACCGTCTTGCTTCTCACTAGTCAACACTCCTGTCCTGTCAGGTTTAATTCTTATATATATGGATGAAAAACAAAAGTCCACAAAACATTAAAATGGCAGCAATTGCTTTTACAGCCTTTAAGACTTTGATTTTTTTTTACAGAAGAGTGTCCACCATGCACTTGCATTACACTATAATAATAGTAGAATAGTATGATATACAAATAGATGAAAATTATATATACATGCAACCGTAATATTAATATAATATATAACAACAAACCAGTGTATTCTCTGGAACTATTATTATATTAGTATAATAGTCTAAGGTATACTGATTTGTATCACTACAATATAATAGTTATTACGGTGAGGTTGAATTTCCTGTCATTTATTCATCATCCAAGCACGAACTTGTATAAGAAAAAAAATCTCTGTAAATTAACCTCAGTTTCAGGTATTGAGATGTGATCTGTTTCTGTGACATGTGCTTTTGACCATCCACAAGAACCTGCGGTCATCCGATGTTCAGTACTTCAGTACTTTGATTTAACACTCAAAAGTAAAATGATCCACAGTAACTAGATGATCGCTTGCATCGCACATACACGTAGGACACATAGATAAGACCAAGTCATGTATTAGTCCTAGATCACAATAACTTTATATAGACTGATTTTGTAATAAATTCTGGATTTGAAAAATATTCCGCATTTTGTTAATTTTGCATGTTTCATGTAGCATGCTTTTGTAGAACTTAAATTATTGCTTTATGTGGACTAATTTTATGATAAATTCTGACATCTAAACATATTATATTGTCTAGTAATTTTGATATTTTTTTCTCTCATGTATAGGACAATATTTGATATATGAGCTTAAAGTATAATATGGTTTTTATATACTGCTCCCGCCTCCGGGTGCGGGATTTTCTCGCTGTGTTGAAGACCCATTGGTGGCCTTGAACTGTTTTCTGCTCTTTGGTCGGGTTTTTGTCTCTTTGACACATTCCCCGTTTCCATTCTCAATTTTATCTTTCTTTGGAACTTTGTACCAATTCTTTACAAATCACATACTAGACTTTAAGGTCAAGGAATAGTAAATGGGCTATGTCACAGATTTTGCTAAAATTTTACATACAACCTTGGCTCGTTGAACTATAACTGAAAATCGAAAAAATAATGCATTTATCTCTTTTATTATCTGACATCTTACTGATTTAGTTCTTTCAAAATAGGTGAACATTTGTATAGAAAGCACCTAAAATCGGCGAAAAAACTTCTAAAATTTGTCTTAGAATATCAAATCTCTCATTTCTACTACATAGATTTTTCTTAAAAAACTGTATGTTGTTGATACATAAATTTCCGTTTATATAAAATTTAGCATTATTCCTTTTTTAATTTCAATAATTACGATTTTACCATTAACTTATTTTCCAAATCGCTTGACAAAAAAGTTTAGCACTTTTGATAAAATAATAACACGCAGGATACCAATTTGAACTCCATAAATTTTGAAAAGAATATTCACAAGGATAAATTATTAAGTAACTGTTGTAATTTATTTTAGAAAGATATTTGAATTAAGGACTCATTCTTACCTCATGGTTAACAAAACCTCCTCCAAGAAAAACTACCATCATCTGTATTATACTCAGACATGCTGACCACAATGTGGCTATAAACGAGAAAACGTCAATGGATTCAAACAGGAGGAAATAAAGGGTAAAAATTATCAACGGGATCACGGTGCCAATAGATGACATTACATACATAGAAAATACTTTGTCGGCTTGAAAAAGTAGTCTTGTCATGTGCTCATGCTGCATTCGGATCGTTTCAATGTCACCTTTAAATTTTCCATCTTCAAAGCATTTCTTAAAATTCCGATTGAAATGTCTAAACGATTTAGTTAAAACAAGAGAGACCACGAAAAATGAAGCCACGATCAAATACCATGTAGACGTGAAGTAAAAGTATGTTACCAGAAATGCAATGCGAACAATAATTTCAACTCCAACGCTGACATTTCCAAACGGTCCGGCAACATTACCGGCTAGAAAATAAGAACCAAGTCCAGTGAACGTGAACGCAATCAACAGCCATATGATGTACAAAACTGTTGCACCTATTGCACATTTTCTTATGAAATAATAGTCAGTAAAGTTGATAGATTTGGCAACATCGTCAAACTGGTCACAAAAGACTTTCAAGTGTTTGCAGACGAAAAAGTTACAAACTGAACAATATGCAATTTGTAGAAACCACATTGAAGTGATAATCTGATTACAAACTGTGCCATTAAACTGCGTGACGCTAACAAATGCTGTCAATGAGAGTGCTAAATTGTACCATAAAATCAAAATCACAACAATCGAATAAACTGTATATACTCTTCCGGAACAAGATCTAATCCTCACACGATCTGGAGTTATTTCATTATTATCCGAATCCGTATTTCCTCCTATCAACGATATCCCGGGTAGAAGGCCAGTTATCTTCAAACACCATAACAAGGGTTTCATCGACTGACAAAACGAATTTTGGTTTATCCATGCCATTTTGCGAGGTATTAAATCTATGGATGTTCTCGCCAATGTAAACGGGTAAATCTTGCTTGGCATTTTAATGGCATCTGGAAAATGGTTTATACGAACTAATATGATTATTTATACTAAACGTTTATAAAATTCATATAATGATGATTGCATGTGCGGATTGGCTTCTGATTTACTACTTCTCCTGAACCTGATATAATACAAATCATATTGAAATAATTTGATGGATTATAAACAAATAGTACTGTATGGTACATGTTTACAAAGACGGTTTACTATTACAAGGGGTCAGTCTATCGGCACAATAAGCAAACATATTGTTTTCAATTAATCCGTAACGTAAATATTGAATCATGCTTAAAGGACACTTTTAAGAGTAAAACGATACCTTTTCATACTTTAGAAACATTAACTGTACCAATGCAAAATGTTACTGGAAACTTGACATAGTACATGCAAAAGCACGTTTAACGTGCCATCATATTATGTAATGATTAAAATTCTAAATTCAGAACTTAAATTTGTTCTGTTTTTTTAATAAAATGTTTTTATCAGTCGTAGACTACTAATAAACTTATAATTCTAAACTGTTTTTAAGATTATTTGACACGAAACAATGTTATAATCAACGATACATTTCACTATAAGCAGACATTGCTTTAAACACATAAGCATGTAAAAACCTTGTATTGACGTTATGAACACAATCTATCATTCAATTATTAACCAAAGTCATTTGTTACGGAAGCCGATAAGGGCCATTCAAAAAAAAAATTATGTCGTAATTACGACATAGCATGTCGTAATTTCGACATAACATGTCGTTACAACGACATCGCTATGTCGTAATTTCGACATAACATGTCGTTACAACGACATCACTATATATATATATATATATATATAAGAATATGTATTATGATTGCCAAGAGACTTAATGACACAGAAATTAACAACTATAGGTCATCATAATGCCTTCATAATGAGAAAAGCCCCCGCATAGTCAGCTATAAAAGAGGGACGAAAGATACCAGAGGGAGAGTCCCCGACATGGCAGCTGCTTAATAAGGGAGCTACCATTTGATTTTTATGGGGGGGGGGGGGGGGGGGGGGCTAGGATGAAATTTGAAAAAAATAGGCAGGACAGGAGTTTTGAGTAAAAAAAAAGGCAGGATGAGACACTTGCAAAAAAAAAAGTCAGGATGACAATTTAGGTAAAAAAAAGTCAGGATAAGCTTTAAAAAAAAAACGCAGGACCGAATAGAGTGAAAAATAAAAAGGCAGGACAGAGATTACACCTAAAAAAAAATTCGTAAGGGTTCCGCGGAACCCAGTGTCTCGCCTAATTTTTCTGTTAATCGCAGGCTCAACAAAAATGAGGAAGTAAATCAATAAAAATATTCCTCTTGATTCTATCTTTTGATTGTAAGAAGCTTCTGTCCAAGTTTGGTAAAAATCCAGGATAGTTTATGAATCTAATAAATGTTTAAAAACTTTAACTGCAGACTGAATGTAATGTTAACTGGAAGAAAAAAAAAATTTCCTTCTAGATACTAGCATTTGACCATAAACAAGCTTCTGTCCAAGTTTGGTACAAATCCAAAATAGTATAAGAAAGTTATTAAAATTTTAAAAACTTTAACCACAGAGTGAATGTGTTGTTTCCTGGCAGAAAATCTAAGTCCATTTAAAAGTAAAATACTGAAAAAATGGATTTATTTTTTTACAAAATTTCCTTCTAGATACTAGCTTTTGATCATAAACAAGCTTCTGTCCAAGTTTGGTACAAATCCAAAACAGTATAAGAAAGTTATTAAAATTTTAAAAACTTTAACCACAGAGTGAATGTGTTGTTTCCTGGCAGAAAATCTAAGTCCATTTAAAAGTAAAATACGGATAAACAGGATTTTTTTTTTACAAAATTTACTTCTGGATACTATCTTATGATCATAAACAAGCTTATGTCCAAGTTTGGTAGAAACCCAGGATAGTTTAAGAAAGTTATCAAAATTTTAAAAAATTTAACCACAGAGTGAATGTAATATTTCCCGGCAGAAAAACTAAGTCCATTTATAAGTAAAATACGGAAAAAATGGAATTTTATTTTTACAAAATTTAATTCTGGATACTATCTTATGATCATAAACAAGCTTCTGTCCAAGTTTGGTAGAAATCCAGTATAGCTTATGAAAGTTATTAAAATTTCAAAAACTTTAACCACAGAGTGAATATTTGTGAACGCCGCCGACGACAACGACGACGACGACGACGACGACGCCGACAGAATGTAGGATCGCTATGTCTCGCTTTTTCGACTAAAGTCGAAGGCTCGACAAAAATGCAGGACAACATTTTTCATCCTAACCCTTGGCTATCTTAGATTTAATGCAATCAGTATGCATCAGCATCAGGGTACAGCTCATTTGCATATCATTTGCATATTTTTACAAATACTCGAAATTTAGACAATTTCTGATAACAATTCAGCATGCCAAAGGTTAATATCCCTGAGGTTAGAAACCATTTATTTTCAGTTTTCTCTCCGATTTTGATGTTTTTTCGTCTTATTTGGGGCCTATAGAGGTTAGCAAGGCTTTGGGATACCTGGTTTGTTCAAAAACGCAACTCTCCACAAGAAACCAAATGACACAGAAATTAACAATTATAGGTCACCGTACGGCCTTCAACAATGATCACAACCCATACCGCATAGTCAGCTATAAAAGGCCCCGAAATGACAAATGTAATACAATTCAAACGAGAAAAACTAGCGGCCTATTTTATGTACAAAAATAAACGAAAAACAAATATGTAAATTACAGACTTTGGACAGACACATACATTAAGAATGTGGCGGGGTTAAACATGTTAGCGGGATCCCAACCCTCCCTCTAAGTTTGTAGGAATAGTTGTCCTGGGGAACAGTGGTTAAAAGAACTTGGGGTACAAAGTTTTAATAGGGCTTCAATGGGGAGGACGCTTGAAGAATCTCATTAAGAACCAACAATAGCAATGCAGTTATAATTTGCAATAAGCCTCAGCAGTACATTAAGATTCAAGTGTGTACAAATGAAGGTACAGAGATCCGTGGGTCTGAGCACTATGAGTCCAAAGTTTAACATAGTCTTTATTGGGAAAAGCTTAAAATTCATCTTATTCAGAACCTGCAATGCCAAACATAATTAGAGGCTCCAGGGAGCTTGAATTTCTCCCCTATTCAACTGGATTTCATTTGACTTGATTATAAATAAAGTTCTAGTATGTGCAAGTCTGAGGTGCTAGTGAATAACTTTAATTAAGCTTGGTTGCATAAAGTGTTTAATATTCTCAAAAAAAAAGATGAATTTGTTTACGCTTCAAACTTTGCCTTTACTGGCGACCATTTTGAAATTCCTATCGCTTCAAAAAGTGAAAAGTTAAACTATAAGGTTGTCGTTATAATCAGATAGCGGTCAGGAATCTGTAATTCAGTGGTTGTCATTTGTTACTGTGTTACATATTCGTGTTTCGGTCTTTGTTTGTACATTATTAAAACCGTTATTTTCACTCGTTTGAATTAAATTGTTAAACAGCTGTCATTTCGGGGACTCTCCCTCTGGTATCTTTCGTCCCTCTTTTATAGCTGACTATGCGGGGGCTTTTCTCATTATTGAGGGCATTATGATGACCTATAGTTGTTAATTTCTGTGTCATTTAGTCTCTTGGCAATCATAATACATATTCTTATATACATATAGCAATGTCGTTATTACGACATAGCTATGTCGTAATTACGACATAGTGATGTCGTTATAACGACATGTTATGTCGAAATTACGACATAGTGATGTCGTGACATAGTGATGTCGTAATTACGACATAGCCATGTCGTTATAACGACATAAAAAAATTTTTTTAATGGCCCTTATCGGCTTCCGTAATTTGTTGTCGTAGTCAGCGTCAACGTTTAAAAGTTCACCATGAAGACTCATCGCCAAGAATTATCCATTGCAGGAATTTTCTAATATATAGCTACTGCGAGTACTCCAAGATGTGTACTGATTGATATTTTGGTCTCAGATACATGATTTTTTTATTAGTTGTTATTGACTTTGAACTAGCTGTTAGTACCTTCGAGTACTCTCAGATCTGTACTTCTTGTCTTTTGTTAGATTTTTCTGTACTTAGTGTCTTTTTTGTACGTACGGTTGCCTATAATTGATAATTTTGATACAAAATAAACATAAGTTTTATAAATTTTGACTTGGATGGAGAGTTGTCTCATTGGCACTCATACCACATCTTCTTATATCTATATAAGGACATGTTGTATGATTGCCAATGCGACAGCTATCAACCAAAGTTCAAATGAGTTGCTGTAAGCAATTATAGGCAACCATATAAGAAAAATCCTTACCGTATAGTTGGCTATAAAGGCCCCGACATGAAAAATGTGAAACAATTCAATAGAGAAAACTAACGGCCTAATTCATAACAAAACAATTTAAGAAAAACAATTATGACAGACATAAACCAACTGAACTGCAGGTTCCTAACTTGGGACAGGCACATAATGTGGCAGAGTTAAACATGTTTGTGAGCGTGCAACCCTCCTCTAACCTGGGACAGTGGTGTTACACGGTAACATTGGAACACTCTGTAAAAATCAGTTGCAGTTGGCTTAACTCAAAAGATCGGTACGAGGGACAAACACAACTAATATAAAAACAATAGACACAAAGCAACGCAATAACCGTGAGTACTCGCAGTTTCTGAAAGCTAACTAAAGCCAATTACAACTAATCAATAAATCATGGTCTCACCTTATGACAAAAACTCCTTTGTTAGAAATCATTTCTGATAGGAATTATAAATATAACTCATATATATGAACATATGAAATATATGGTCGGTTGTGATGGGAAATTATAAATGTGGCAGGGTGAAACCATTTTCTAAGATTTTAATCTTGATCAGTGGGCTAGCAAAAGGTACATAAAAGAACATAAAATAAAAACCAGTACAGAAAAATCACTAAACTCTAAAATAACGGTATAATACTAGTAAGTAACAAAAAACAAAAATTAACAACTTTTATGATTATAAAAATATACAA